GACAGCTATCGTAACTGCATGCTGAAAGCCTAAAACGCCTTTTCACCCTCGCAAACTTTGGTATTTCTTACTGAAAATGCAAATCTATTTAGTATTTCCTTTTTTGGAGCATTTTTGACAGTACAGAGGACGGCTATTTTTATATCGGTCAATTCAAATTGGGCTGTTTGGTGTAAATGGGGTCGTGGCAGATGCGATGAGCCGGAGAGGACAGCCCAATGGAAATTATATCTCATCAATGTTGCCTGTCTAGTAATACTAGATCAGGATGAGCCAATCAATGTGTCTGAGCTTAGAAGATCACAGCTGTATCCAGTACAGTGGAGTGGACACACAGAATCTACAGAGATTTCAGCAAGAGCCGAGTGTCCAGCGACACAGCAGGATGTATGTACAAGCGACGGATGGCAAACAGCTGCCGGGTTGAACCAGGGGACACCCAGTGCATTTTGCCCCTTGTTAGACTGGTGAGGACTAATACGCACACACCGTGGCTGCGGCAGGAGGAGAGGCTTTGTTGAACCTCCACCGCATTGAGCCTCGCTACATCCGCCACATGCCGCGCGCAATCTGCTCCAGACAACACACACACACGGACAGACTCAGGGGATTACACATACACACACACACTCTCGCGGTGTAGAATGAGAATGCACATAACATGAGAGAGCTTATATAACAATGACCAAGCCAAAAGCGCGTCACAATCCCGCCAATATTCAGAATAACAACAAATAAATAAATAAAAACACGTCACTGTGAAACTCACCCACCTTCAGATATGAGCTTAAATACACAAGTGTGCTATGTAAACTACTACACATACTTTATTTCTTGGCTAATAATTTAAATTTGTTCTTGGCCTGCCAATTTTTTACTGGCCCCGCCAAAAAAAAGATACTGTAGATTTATTTCATCAACGTAAATGAATCTAAAAAGTTTTATTTTTCTTACCCTATCAATATTTTCAGTGACCCCACCACAAAAAAGACACTTTTTTTTAAAACTATATTTGTGTCAGAAGCAGATGTATTGGTTAGCTATAAGCCATTCATTAAACTCATCAAAAAAGTTGTCTTTAATGGAATTAATTTAGAGATTAATTTAAGATTTTTTGCTATTCAAATTTGTTCTGACCCTATCAATATTTTTAGTGGACCCACCGCAAAAGAAGATGCTCTCATTTTTAGTAGCATAATTATGTTTGTTCCAGAAGCAAATGTATTTGTTATTCATTAAAAAAGTTTTTTTAATTAAATTAATTTAAATAATTTAAAATTCAAAAATAATTAACTTTTAATTTTAAATGAATCAAATTAAATTTGTTATATTTCCAAGTGTTATTGCAAATTAAAAACTTTAATTTAGTTTATTTGATTATTTTTTAATTTTTAAGTTATAACTTTAAAAAAAAAAAACTTGCTATTTAAATAAAGAGCTAAATACATTTTCTCCTGACACACTTATGTTCAAATTTATCTATAAATGAATAAAATAAAATGAATTGTGCTATAATTTCTTATAGCTCAGCTATTTTTTTTTTTAAATGGTGGTATACAGTGTATTTATCATATTTAACCCATTTACAGTTTTGACTATTTTATACAAATTTCTCCAGCTAGATAATTGTTTTCTTTTTTTTTCTTTTCATTTTTTTTTCTTTTTATTTGTAGTGAGCATTTTGCCTTTATTTGATTAGATAGTGGAGAACCGAGAGGAAAGTACTGGAAGAGAGGGACATGACCCAATCTGTGTCCCAATGAGCACAACAACAGGTCATTTGAGACGTCCATCAACTTGTCCCAAATTCTCTCACACTGGTCCTTGGACAAGGATGGTCCTGGAACTGTCCTTATTGTTGAGTCCTGTAATTGTATGTCTATAAATTGTAGCCGGGAAAGCCAAAAGATATTTAGTAAAGCTACAACTAAAGGACTAAAGTTCTTTGAAGAGAAAATGAGCTGCAGGTGTCCCGTCCTTAGACTGCCTGTCTGGCACTCTATCATTCAACAGTTTCTTCAGGGAGACTGTAGACACAACATGCTGACTGTTGAAACTATTTCAGCTTAATTAAACATCTTATTTACAGGACTGTGTGTAGGTTGAGGTAATAGATTACTTGTCAGTTAAACTGATACAAACTCCTGTTGCCACATTAAGTACAGCTCATTTTGAGTCATGTTTGCCTGTACAAAACTCAGTGCCTTGATTCTAGATTGTTCTGGGATGTTGCCAGGGTGTTTCTATATGGTTTCTAGGGTGGATACCAAACATCTAGGACACTGTTTCCCCAAACCTGTGTGTTTGGTTTTGTGTTAAGGCTGGCTAATGGAAGCATTTCCATTCAGTTGGTACCGATGTGTCGGCCAGGGCAATTAATTGGCTATATCGGCCTATTTTTGTGTGAATTAGAATTTTCGTTTGGCGTTTTCTCCCTGGATTGATTCTACATCAAAACATGCTGAGAACTAATGTTGGTCTGAAATGATGCAGAGACCTTTTTTGGCCGTTACTGAGGTAATACGAGTGCTGCTGAATAGCCTTCTGGTCCGCCGCAGAGCTTTTTAAAACGGAACCGCTTCCAGCGGCCCTGATGCACTATCAGCATGCAGAACCAGCAAACGTGATTTATATTTGTGTGTGTGTGTGTGTGCCAGCAGACCAGATAGATGGGGAAATGGTTCTGCTGTTATGTCACGCTTTATCTAAAATTCATCACCCACCGGAGCGATCAATACTGGAAATGCAATAAATTTGAATACAGCGCAACACATGTCTAAAATGCTTCATTTTATAGACTCGCATTTAAACTGCCAGTCAAAAGTTTGGACGCGCTTGACTGGATTTATGGTTCTCATGATCTTAAAATCCTTTTGGTCTGAAGGTTTTTATACAAGGCTTGAAATGAGTTTTGTAGACAAAATTGTGCCTATGCATGAATTTCTTTACAAAACAAAAATCTTATCATTATTGTTATATTTAAATGGATTGTGAACTGCCTTTTTTATTATTTTGTACTGTTCTCTGAGGTCCACTTATAATGTTATCAAGATTTTTAATAATAAGGAAGAAATGGGCTATTTTCTGTCCTGTTTTGACCCCCCTCATCTGAACGCTCTGTTTGAATAGACGTGGCGTATCGTAGACTCAGAAGTGAATGCCCACTGCTATGATTGGCTAATAGTTGTGTATGTTTGACAGTCTACGTCCTTCAGAGATGGACGCTGCTGTGATTTAGGTTAAAAAGGCATAACAGACCTAATAATAGGAATAATAAAAGCTACTCACACGTGTGTTGCGATATTACTGACGGATCCAATATAGTCGGCACAGCATCGTCTTTTAGTTTGAATCTTTCTGAAAATCCTGGGTCGAATCATGCCTTGTTTGTAAACTAATCCATGGTCAAATGTTCTTACTGACGCAGTCTGGCACTTCATTAAAAATAAAGTTCATCAAATAAAGTCTATCGTTTGGTTTCTGCGTAGACCCGCGTTTGCGTCTCTCAATATTTACACTACATGCGTGAATCTGTGGGCGGGGCTAAACACGCAGTGATGTAGAAGCAGGTGTTGATCTTCTACGGAGGCGGGGTTTAGCCACACTATTACATCATAGAGTGGCACATTCCACAAGCTGTCATTTTGGCAGACTGGCTTCAGTATATGCCATTTTTAGACTAACAAGAAAGTTTTGAGTTCTGAAACTTACAGAATGTTTTTATAGCGCAATGACCTCTTAAATATCAAAAGATCATGGGAATTTGGATTTCTCAGTTCATGACAACTTTAATGGATTTTTTGGGGTCAGATAGTGAGGAAAAATCAGCCAACAAGTGTCCAGCATGTCAAATTTAACTTATTTTAATTGAAAAATTTTAATTTAAATTGAAAATCGCCATTTTATTAACTAATCGGAAATTCCTCCAATCTGAGAATGCTGATACTCTGCTGCGGTTTAGGACTAAAACCTATAGTTTTATAGTCAGAGAAACAATCGCCATCTTTAAAATTTTGTCTTTGTACTTCCGTTTTTGCAGTAGCTCTGTGTATTTCTATAGCATCGCTGTTGTTGAAGAGTAATTAGCTGGTGAAGTGGATTTACTTATTGTAGAGTTAACAAAATTGATCATGAGCATTGTAATCTTCAAAGCGGATGTCATAACAAATGTAAGTAGACCAGGACATTTTTTATACAAACGGTTCATTTATAAATCTGTAAGATCGTACCATCATGCTGTGGAAATACAATCCGGAAGACAGAAGACAATAAGCACAGAGTTGAAAATGGGAGGAACTACATAAGCCCATAGCGCAAATGGTGCGGAACGAATAGAGCTAAAGAAGAACCAGTAATATTAATATAGATACTTTGTTTCGCAAGCACTAATAAAGAATAAGTAGGTAGGTCTGTCCAAACTTTGAAATATTTTACCGCTGGTTAACCTCATATCGACACCTTTGGGTTTCCAGTCGCTGTCATTAGATATGATGAGACTTTAATCCTGAGATTAAACCGCAGAGAAGGTTTGATAGAAGAGAGGAGGTCAGGCACACATCAATGATGGGAAATGGAGTTTACGGAATAATAGAAGAGAAGGGCAGGGGAGAGGAGGATTAAAAAGGAAGGTCGGTAACGAGGGAGCTGATCGGGAAAGACAGCGATAAGGGGAGAGAAGAGGAAAAAGGATTTTTGAAAATCGAGCTACACACAGAGCAGTTACCGAGTGTGTGAGCGTTACAGACAGACGGAGAAAGACAGAATAAGCGAGCAGTTGTGTCAGGTTTCATCTTCATCATTGGCATCGTTGCTCATCTGCCTGCTGAAACAGACACGCAGAAACACACGCTGACGCGTTCAAACTCTCTTTGTCTTGCTGTAGTTTCAGCGTGTCGTTAGTGTCTATCAGGCCGCTGAGGTTTTAATTTGATTGATGATGATTCACTGCTGTTTAATTCATCACGCTACTGATTGATGCTCTCACGTTTGTGTTCCCACAGTACTACGAGATGTCCTACGGGCTCAACATTGAGATGCACAAACAGGTAAGACAAACCTGTTGGGCGAATTCACTGAACAGTTTTGCATGTGGTATTTTAACACTTGAAATCTTATTTTCATCTTATTTTCTGTTCACACTGCACACTGGCTGTTTATAAGCTTGCAGCTATGCACAATATTGTGCCTGTTTTGTGTATGCCCCAAATGATAAAAAAACTACTTCCGTTTACATTTGTAACACAAAAGATGTGGTTTGGATCCGGTCGATTAATGTACAATTTTATTTGATCTGACTGTTCACATTTGTAGCATATATGGATGTGGTTTGAATCTGGTTTATAAATGGCTAATTTCATGTCATCTGACTGTTCACGTGTGTGATGCATATGGATGCGGTTTGGATTCGGTTCGTTACATGTCTGATTTCATTCGGTCTGACTGTTCACACGTGTAACACATATGAATGTGGATTGGATTTGGGTTTGTACACATCTGATTTAATGTAATCTGACCGTTCACACTTGTAACATATGGATCCGGTTTATAAATGTCTGATTTCATGTGGTCTGACCATTTATACTTGTAACACATATGGATATGGTTTGTATCTGTTTTATAAACATCTGATTTCTTGCTATCTGACCATTGGCACTCCTAACATATATGGATGTGGTTTGAATCTGGTTTATAAATGTCTGATTTCATGTGGTCTGACCATTTATACTTGTAACACATATGGATATGGTTTGTATCTGTTTTATAAACATCTGATTTCTTGCTATCTGACCATTGGCACTCCTAACATATATGGATGTGGTTTGAATCTGGTTTATAAATGTCTGATTTCATGTAACCTGACCGTTCACACTTGTGGATGTAGTTTGAATCTAGTTTATATACGTCTGATTTCATGCATTTTTTGTTGTTACATAAATGAAATGTTATTAAATTAGTACTGTATTTATTATAGTGCTATCAAACGATTAATCGCGATTAATTGCATCCAAAATAAAAGTTTTTGTTTGTATAATATATGTGTGTGTACTGTGTATATTTATTATGTATATATAAATACACACACATGCATGTATATATTTCAGAAAAATGTTATGTTTGTATATTAAATATATTTATTTATAATATAAATTATATGAATATAAATATAGACATGTAAATACATGTAAATATTTTCAAAATATATAATGTATGTATGTGTATTTATATATACATAATAAATATACACAAAACACACATATATTATGCAAACAAAAACTTTTATTTTGGATGCGATTAATGCGCGATTAGTCATTTGACAGCACTAATTTATTATTATATAAATATTTTTGTATTAATGACATATTTGAAAAAAATTCCCTAGGAATAATTGAATAGATCATCCTCCACAACCAAGCACTCCGACTTCTAAAATGAGAAACTAGAAGACCATGCACATTGTGTTCAATTTGATACCTGATTTGCATAATTCCTTTTGAGAATCGGATACTGAAACCACATACACATGCAAGTGCAAATAAACAACGCTATCAGTAGGTGCAATTCATTCTCGGTGAATTCCCCCATGCGTGTTGGACAATGAAATGGTTATAATGGGATCAGAATACTCCATGATGCTCCATAATCACACACACATATTCATAAGCACACACACATGCTTTTTGGAGAGCTCTTAAAAGCATGAAGTGGACTTTATTTACATTTAAAAATACTAATTATATAATAACAATTGTAAAAATATTGAATATAAAAATTTATTTTTATATTATATTATATAAATCCAGACAGTCAGATCATAATGGGTGATTTTACCCATTTTTGCATACAATATGCCTAATGCGATCCATGAACAAATTTTGGGCACAGCTTAATACCTCCTGTAAGAATAGGCAGCACTGGTGTGTGTCTGTCTTTCCTTTCCTCTGACTGATTTCCCTCTAAATCAGTCTTTCCCAGCATCAGCAGCGTGTGAAGAAGGGGGTAATCATACATGCTCTCTGTGTGAGCTGGAACACATGAATGGAGAGTGTTGGAGGAAGACAGAAAGATAAAAAAGACACTAGAACATAAAAAGCTTTAAGAATTGTCATAAAGTTTGGTTAAGAACCACCCACTTAGACAGAGCAAGACTGTTTTATGGACGTGTGAAGCAAGGACCCTCAATTTCTGTTTTTATGTGCCGTTTAGTGGCGGCGCGTGTAGGTGTGTGTCAGTGGGTGGGGCTTCAGTCCTAATGCTTTCATATTCAACAAACTGATTGCCTCCTAATAGGATACACACATCTCTCTGTCTCCGCCCCTCCTGTAATCCTGCTTTGATCGTAGTGCTTTTAGGCTTTTCCTGTCTGTCTCTCTCTAGGTCTCACTCCTGTCCCTGTTCAATTAAAGCACTGGATTAAGACAAGCTGTGAGGGGTGGCTAGACAGAGATCTAGACGGGTCAGTGTGTGTGTGTGTGTGTGTGTTAGCCGCTGAATACTGTGCTGTGTTAAATCACCACACGATTTTCAGCAGTGCTCTGATGATGTTTGCACATGATTGGCATCTCAATCATAGTTCACCGCATCTGAATAGATGTATTCACTGAATCCCTGAATACATGCTTGAGATATGAGATATTAACAATAGTGCCGAATCATTGTCATATTATGATTATGAATGATATTTTGATAATCTTTAATTATACAATTATTTTTCATATCTATTTATCTATCTATCTATCCGTCCATTCGTCTGTACAATATCTATCTATCTATCCGTCCATTCGTCTGTACAATATCTATCTATCTATCCGTCCATTCGTCTGTACAATATCTATCTATCTATCTATCTATCTGTCTATCCATTCATCTGTACAATATCTATCTATCTATCTAGCTATCTATCTATCTGTCTATCCATCCGTTCATCCGAAATCTCTATCTATCTATCTATCTATCTATCTGTCTGTCTGTCTGTCTGTCTGTCTGTCCGTCCATTCGTCTGTACAATATCTATCTATCTATCTATCTATCTATCTATCTGTCTATCTATCTATCACCCATTTGTTTGTACAATATCTATCTATCCATCCATCCATCCATCCGTCCGTCCATCCTTCTGTCTGTATATATGTGTGTGTGTGTGCGCCGGCGGGTGTGGTTCTCAGCAATATTGTGAAACAGCCCCTCTAATGGCTCTGGCATTATGATTACATCCAATGCAGTGAGGTGTGTGTATGTGAGAGAGAGAGAGAGAGAAAGGTGGGATAGTGGACAAAAAAGAAAGAAAAAAAACAGCAGAACCATAAAAAAGTGGTAATATAAAGCCACACACACACACGCACGCCTTTAAAGTGATGCCCCCGGATGCAGGTTTGGTCTTATCAGCCTGCCCTCTTTATGTCTAATTGAGCCTGCCTCTCTCTTCCTCTCTTTCTCTCACTCTCTCTCTTCAAACATTTAAAGGCAAATATTAAGCAATGATGCTCTAATCACTGATTGTGGTCACAGGCACAGAGGTATTCAATAAAGCCCTCATTTTCTCTTCTCCTCATCTGTCACACTGCTCTCTCTCTCTCGCTCTCTCTCAGTCGCTGTGTCTCTTTCGCCCCCTGTCTCTCTCTATCTGTGCTTGTTCTCTCTTAAATTCCCTCCTTCTCTCGTTTTGGCTCGCTCTAGTGCTCGCTCTCTCCTTTTCTCTCTCTTTCTCTCTCTTTCTCTGGGCAGCGTGCCAGCCTCTCTTCCCCTGGCGCTCCGCCAGTATCCCCCTCTCCCCCCTCCTCTCCTCGCTCTCCCTCTCTTTCTCTCTGATTGATGGCCCTTCCATTCGGAAAAAGAAAGAAAAGAAACAGAACGAGGCAGGAAAGGAGAGCAGCAAAGCACTGAAAATCAGACACGCTCACAAAGGAGGACACGAGCACACATATATGCACAAAACCCTATACACATGCAAAGGCTCATGGGTAATTAAATGTGTGAGGGGGAAGCACTTACAGAGGGGGATGTGGACACATTCCTGCACATGAGTACACAAACAAATATAAATACACAAACTCTCACACTCTCCAAACAAAACAAAAAAGCCGTTTATGGGGCATCTGACAACGTCATTTACCCAAAAACTGTTTGATTTTTACACACACTCATCAGTTTAATATAAATATATTTTAATTAAAATATGTATCTATTAATATAAAATAACTTTAATTTTTAACATTTATATAAATTATAATAATTATTACTCAATTATTTATGTAGATACAGACATTATTTATTGTACTTTTTTATTTTTATCTATATAAAATGTTATTTGAATTATTATATTTTATATATACATAGACAAATGTAGGTTTGTATGTTTATGTTTTATTTAAATGTTAATATTTAGATTTTTTTATATTCAAATTTGAACGTTCATGAACAAATATTATACTCGCCCATTTAATTAGCGCAGACGGCCCAGAACTGCAAATGCTGCCACCTTTCTGACATGCAAACATGTCATGTAGATATAGTGAAAATATGATTCATTCCATTCGGATGGTAGAAAGTTAATAACCGTTGAACACACAAAGCAAGTCTATGCAAATGTGGAGACATGTTCACGCACTCACGAGAATTCTGGGTAAATATATGTGCACACACAAACAGCGGGGCATCTGCACCTACTCAGGTTCTTTTGATCGAGTGACAAAGCTATTATGCTAAAAGGTTGGCACCCTGGGACTTCCTCACAAACATGCACACACATCTTGTTTTCCTCTGTTTCTTCATTTCCCTCCTGCGCTCTCTCTCTCCTTCTCAAACACACTCTGTTTCATTCCAAACCGGTTACATCACTCGCTCCCTCAACCTCATTATACACAAATGAGCTCTGTTTCACTTGCGCGCACACTCACGCACACAATCTGCAGATGTTCAGCATCACTGCTACACTGTGTCCCAACAAAAATGCAAACAACCGAACACGCTTCCGTTCACTCGTCTGCAGTCTCATATGGCAGGAGTAACAAGTATTCTGCCAGGTAATAATAATAATTCCAGCTAATACTATTTGAAATACCATAACCTGATATTCATAAGTTAATATCCTATACACTGTGCTAGATGGATGGATGGATGGAGAGACGATAGATAGATAGATAGATAGATAGATAGATGGATGGATGGATGGATGGATGGACATCATTATGAATTGTGTTTAATGTATTATGTGGTGGTGTGCAGATTAAAATAGCTCAGCTACAAACACAGAGCTCTAAAACACAGGTTTGCTTTGCTCCTCATGTAGGTATTAGAGTGCACTTAGAGGTCTGCTGTGTTTCTGTGCCTCCATCACCGCAAATACTCCTCCATTAGTGTGTGTGTGTGTGTGTGTGTTAGAGAGAATCACAGAGCCTTATCACAGGACAGGAAGAAAAGAATGAAAAAACAGTAAAAAGAGTGTAATGGCTGGAGCATGAAGGTGGATGGTGACTGGGCACAGCGAGGAACGCCTTGAAAGGAACACGCGTGTGTGTGTGTGTGTGTGTGTGCGCGAGTGAAAGTAATTAACTGTTCATGTGTTGCAGCGTGTGTGAAACACTTGTCTGCCTGTCTGTTGTTTTTCTTAGTGAGACTATAATTAAACGTGTGTGTGTTTGTGTGCTCTGTTGCAAGGAGATTGAGACTATTCAAGCTATTCAGCCCTGAAGAGCTCTCTCTCTCTCTCTCTCTCTCTCTCTCTCTCTCTCACACACACACACACACACACTCACTCAGAGCCTCGGGAAATGGCTGAATGAATAGAACTCAACACACACAAACCAGACATATATTTTCTTAAGAACATATAAGTGTCACTTGCCCACACTGCTTCGATTCTGTATGGTTGCTAAGGTGTTCTAAGTGGTTGTTAGGGTGTCCTGGGCATTTCTACAGTGTGTGGTTGCAGGGGTCGCTAGAGTGTTCTGTGTGGTTGCTAGAATGTTATGAGGTGCTTTAAGTGAATTGCTAGGGTATTTTGTGTGGTTGCTAGGGGGTTGCTGGGGTTTTCAGGTTGTTGTTAGCATGTTATGGGTTACTTCAATTAATTGGTAGCATTTTCTGGGTGCTTTTAGGATGTTTTGAATGGTTTTTCAAGAATTGTTAGGTTGTGTAATTGAGTGGTTTCTATGGTGTTGCTAGGGCATCACTGTGGGGTTAGGGTTTTCTGGGTGGTTGCTATGATGTTATGAGTGGTTTTAGTGCATTGCTAGGGTGTTCTGTGTGGTTAATAGCATGTTGCCATGCAGTTGATAGGCTGTTGCAAAAGGGTTCTTGTTGGTTTCTAGGGTTTTATGAGTGTTTTAGCTCATTGCTTGGGTGTTCTTGGTGGTTGCCAGGGCTTTATACATGTTTAGCTTATTGCTATGGTGTTCTGCATGGTTTCTATGGTATTATGAGTGTTTTTGCATTGCTAGGGTGTTCTGTTTGGTAGTAGCATGTTGCTATGCAGTTGATAGGATATTGTTATGTAGTTCTTGGTGGTTGCTAGGGTATTTTGGATGGTTGCTAGGATGTCATTAGTGTTTTTTAACGCATTGCTAGGTTGTTCTGTTTGATAGTAGCTTGTTGCTTTGCAATTGGTAGGGTGTTGCTACATACATAGTTCTTGGTGTTTGCTAAATGGTTGCTAAAGTGTTCTGGGTGGTTGCTATGGCATTTCTGTTTGATTGCTAGGTGATTGCTTGAATGTTCTCTTGGTTGATACTAGGGTCTTATTCTCAATTCTAGAGTGTTCTTGGTGCTTGCTAGGGTTTTATGAATGTTTTAGCTCATCGCTGTGGTATTCTGCACTGACATTATGATGTTTGCTAGAGTGTTTTGCATGGTGCCATTAGTGTTTTTAACGCATTGCTAGGTTGTTCTGTTTGGTAGCTATGCAGTTGATAGGATGTTGCTACATAGTCTTGGTGGTTGCTAGGGGATAGCTGTGGTGTTCTGGGTTGTTGCTAGGATGTCATGAATTGTTAACACATTGCTAAGGTGTTTTGTTTGATAGTAGCGTCTTGCTTTATGGTTGATAGGGTGTCGCTCCGTAGTTCTTGGTGGTTGCTATAGTGTTCTTGGTGTTTGCTATCGAATTGCTAGGGAATTCTGGGTGGTTGCTAAGGTGTTTCTATGTGGTTGCTAAGTGATTGCTAGAGTGTTCTTTGTGGTTGCTAGAGGATTGCTATTGTTCTGGGCAGTTGCTAGGATGCCATGAACCCGAAACGTTTTTAACACATTGCTAGGTTGCTCTGTTAGTAGTGTGTTGCTTTGCAATTGATAAGGTGTTGCTGCGTGCATAGTTCTTGGTGGTTGCTAAGGCATTTCTATATGGTTGCTAGATGATCGCTATGGTGTTCTTGGTGGTTGCTATGATATTATGAATGTGTTATGCATTGCTAGGTTGCTCTGTTAGATAGTAGAGTGTTGCTTTGCAGTTGGGTGTTGCTACATTCATAGTTCTTGGGGGTTGCTAAATGGTTGCTAGTGTGTTCTTGGTTGTTGCTAGGGTGTTCTGGGTGGTTGCTAAGGCATTTCTATATGGTTGCTAGATGATCGCTAGCGTGTTCTTGGTGGTTGATATGGTTTTAAGGGTGTTTAAGCTCATCGCTATGGTGTTCTTGGTGGTTGCTATTAAGGCTGCACGATAAATCGCATGCGATGTTTAACGCGCATCTTATCAGTAAAGCCGGTTCTGTAATCAGCGGTAAATCTCCATCACCTGCAGGCTTTCACATTGAGCAGCATTAACTACACAGAGCCGTTGTTCACTGACGAGCTGCGCAAAACCACGTTCATATTCATGCGATTTTTTGCGCAGCTCGTCAGTGAACAACGGCTCTGTGTAGTAAATGCTGCTCCATGTGAAAGCACGCACGTGATGGAGATTTACTGCTGATTACAGAACCGGCTTTCTGACAAGATGCACGTTAAATATCGCATGCGATTTATCGTGCAGCCCTAGTTGCTATGATATTATGAATGTGTTATGCATTGCTAGGTTGCTCTGTTAGATAGTATCATGTTGCTTTGCAGTTGGGTGTTGCTACAAACATAGTTCTTGGTGGTTGCTAGAGTGTTCTTGGTTGTTGCTAGGGGATTGCTAGAGTGTTCTGAGTGGTTGCTAGGGCATTTCTGTATGTTGTTAGGTGAATGCTAGAGTGTTGTTGGTGAATACTAGGGTTATGGAGTGGTTTATTACTAATTTCTAGGATGTTCTGGGTGGTTACTAGTGTTAGGAATAGGTTTTTTTTATCATTCATGTCCACAATATTACAATTAACCTGCAACCTCCATCCCAGATGTGCTAATTGCCTTCATTTCATTATTATCTGTCACTCCCTTCCTTTGTCTTGTGCATCTTTTGTTGCTAAGACATCATTGTCATGAACATAATCTAAGCTGAAGCCATTTGTGTGCTTGGGAATTGAGAGCCCAGTGCTGTTGTACAGGTTTATCACTGTCACTGTTTTCTCTTCTAATCAAGCGTGTGTACGTGTGTATTCTCTTGCAGGCGGAGATCGTGAAGCGACTCAGTGCTATCTGTGCTCAAATCATCCCTTTCCTCTCTCAGGAGGTATGATGACAGTGATTGACAACTCATCAAGGTTCTGGGGTCTTCTCCCACAGGCGCACAGACACGTTCTCGTTCCCCTCCCTGTCAGACTGATTCACCCTCAGTACGCCAGACAGATTCTAGATTTTAAGATTCACATCTCTGACTAAACAAGGACTGCTGATATCCTGCGTTTTTTAACAAAGCCGCAAAATCCTGCCGCGTTCATTTACCGAAAGTTGTCTGCGATGACTTGATGAGCTCAGGTTGCAAATTCAGCTTGAGTCCAGCATCGCTGTTTCCTTTATTAGCAGCTCTGCTACTAGTGTTACAAGCAGACTCCAATCTCACACCATTGGTTGAACCAGAAGTCCAACATTGACTCACTTTACCTTTCAAATGAGTCCAAACAACCGATTCTAGCCATTCACATACAAATTGAAGAGTTCTTGGGGACAGTAAACAAATTAAGGGGATAGTTCACTTAAAAAATTAAAATACTGTTATCATTTACTCACCCTAAGTTTTTCCGAACCTGTATGAGTCTTCTGTTGAGCACAAAAGATGAAAAATGTTGGTAACCAAACAGCCGATGGTAGCCATGGACTTCTATAGTATGAAAAAAAATACTATGGAAGTCAATGACTGTTGTCTTCAAAATTTCTTCTACATTTTCAGAATATCTTCTTTTGTGATCAACAAAAGAAAGAGTCTCATACAGGTTTGGAACAAGTGGAGAATTTTTATTTTTGGGTGAACTATCCCTTCATCGGTCTCATAGAGTTGCTAGTTTCTATCAATTCGCATGAAAGGTAGAAGGAGAACTTTATTAGAAACAAGCTCTTGAGATTCGGCTGTTGCTTTTCTAGCTGTTGCGTTAGTATGGATGGCTAAGACTAGAATGGCTTGTTTTGTGTCCCAACTAATTCAAAGCTCCAGTTCCCTTGTAGAGGAGCCACAGATCCATTGTTATCTTCAAAGCTTTGGAGCTGCAGTCCTCTGGAGTCTACAGTGGCCTGCATGAACACACACTATGAATTAATGCAACTCACCTTTAGAGTTCAAAACCGAAATGGAAAATGAGAAAGGATCAACATAATTTCTCAAGAAATTGTGCAAGCACATTATATATTTAATATATAGAATGTATATATGTATATAAGTTCTGTTATTCTGACTAAATAACGTTAAAAACTTTTATTGTAGATTATGTAAGATTTCAGTAAATAACATATCTGTTTACCGATCATTATTTTCATACAGTCTGTTTGTAAATATAACCTTTTATACAATGTATACTGATAGAGCTCCCTTTCATTTGAGGATAACTGTGGTCCAATAAAACGTGGATCCTCATTTTAAATGAGGAGGATTTATTTTGGCAGATGAGCAATAAAAGATCAGGCGGAACTGTATTGATTAGGAGGTCACCTTTAGCATTAGCTTGAGTTAGTATCTGCTGATGGGGAAGGACAGAGTGATATGTCTGTCAATACTGACTGTGCGTCTGTGTGTGTGTGTGTGTGACAAACAGAGGGATGGAGCGAGAAAGTGCAAGAGAGTAATGGAGGATAAATACAATTTTTGTGAGATGTGTTTACTTTAATTCACGTTTTATTTGAGTGTGGTTGAATTTGTGTCTATAAGTGAATATTTTGAATCTATGTCTTACCATGTATCTTTGTGTGTATCAGCATCAACAGCAAGTTGTTCAGGCGGTGGAACGTGCCAAACAGGTCACCATGGCAGAGCTCAACGCCATCATAGGGGTGAGTGGCCTCTGACCTCTCATACCGGTAGGTAGACGGATGGATAGATAGATAGATGGATGGATGGATGGATGGATGGATAGATAGATATATAGATAGATAGATAGATAGATAGATAGATAGATAGATAGATATCCAGGACCTCCACATCCAGCATCTTCACCTTCACCAAAATCGTCTGAGACCAGCCACCCGGACAGCTGCTGCAACAATCGGTTTGCATAACCCATCCATCCATCCATCCACCCACCCATCTCTCCATCCATCCATCCATCCACCCACCCATCCATCCATCTCCTTGTATTTCTGTGCATGTCTGCCTGTCTGTTGTCTTTATCTCTGTCTCTCTGTCTGTCTGTCTGTCAGCAGCAGCAGCTCCAGCACCTGTCTCACCACACTCCATAAAACTGTACATTTTAGAGTGGCCTTTTATTGTGGGCAGCTTAAGGCACACCTGTGCAATAATCATGTTGTCTAATCAGCATCTTGATATGCCTCACCTGTGAGGTGGATGGATTATCTTGGCAAAGGAGAAGTGCTCACTAACACAGATTTAGACAGATTTGTGAACAATATTTGAGAGAAATAGGCCTTTTGTGTACATAGAAAAAGTCTTAGATCTTTGAGTTCAGCTCATGAAAAATGGGGGCAAAAACAAAAGTGTTGCGTTTATAATTTTGTTCAGTGTAGATAGATAGAGAAAAAAGGAAAGAGAGATCAGAAAGCTGATAAAGAGAGGTCTCTCCTCTCTGTGCTAAATTACAGCTGGTTTTGTTGCTGGCTGTTATAGAGCGACACAATCTCTCTTCATTCCACTGTCTCTCTGAGCTCTGATCATATTACTGCAATTAAACCCCAGTGATAGAGTAATACTGCCCACACAGGACAGCAGCAGACAGAGCCTGACAGACACTGACACCACTGCTGCTGTAGGACCGGAGAGCTTATTTCTATGAAGTTACTTTTAGTTACTTAGTTACTTTCTGTATAGTTACATATCTATCTGTCCATCCATCTGTCCGTCCATCCATCCATCTGTCCGTCCATCCATCCCTCTGTCCGTCCATCCATCCATCTGTCCGTCCATCCATCCATCTGTCCGTCCATCCATCCATCTGTCCGTCCATCCATCCCTCCCCCCATCCATC